CCCCAAAACCCCAAAACCCCAAAACCCCAAAACCCCGTGTTCAGTAAATTTTGGAAAAGTTGTTGATTCTAAAATAAGCAATTCAAAGTTTTAACTAGACTGTATGCTGGCACTTCACTGGAGTTATGAGATTTAAATTTGTTTAGCGCCAAGCTTATATATTAAATATTAAAGAACGTAATAAATTAGGTAGTCTAAACCTAACGACTAAAGTTTTCATTTTACTATAAATTTTCACTTTTTCACGCTAATATATAAACATGAAAGTAAGTTCCTCGCCTCCTTTTCAATCTAATTGGATTATAGTAACAAGGTTATAATTTGAGAAGCCCGAAGGACCCTAAATTCCCTCATTAAAGGGGGTATTTTGCTAATTAATCTCCTCTCAAAAATTCTTCCATCAATTCAACTAAAACAAAAAATGACCAATAAAGCAACAAATAACTTGATACAATGCTAATAAAGAGATCGAAAATTATCACCAGAGATTAGTTTAGCGATGAGTCAAGCTTCTCTAGTAGAAATAGGAAAATAAGAGTTGTAGGTTATGAGCAGAGATCAAAAGAAAGGACTCAAGGCAGAAATGACATTTAAAAAATTGACAACTTTTAAATTTAAACAATACAATTAGGCAACTTAAACAGCAACTCTGAGAAAAAAGCAAATAATTTTGACTTTTTAGCGAAACTAACATAAGCAGTCTCTCAAATAAAAACAAGCAATAACTCAGGCAGATGCGATACTTAATAGCAAAGCCATATTGAGAGACCTCAAGACTAAGTAATATAAATAAAATAGTCATCGAAAGAGAGTGTCGAAACCAAAAAATCCACTGTTCAAAAATCAATTAGCAAATCCGCCTCTGACTATATTTAAGCGCTACTTTCATAAGTAGATCCTCAAAATATTCAAAAACAACTAACAAGCAAGTCTCTTCAATAGAATTATTCTTACGAGAATTAGTTGGTTTGTGATAATCAGGGATATTAAGAAGGATAAGATGATTTGAATAATGAATAAGAAATGCCAAAGCGCAGATATAAGAAAATAACTCACGCTGATAGAATTGGAAAGACTGCAGGCAGATGGACCAGGCAGGAGCATATCCGCTTCATTCAAGGTAAGGATTCACGTCACCTTTTATACTCTTTTAGCGATTAAGCTTTTTGGAAAGGATTGGAAAAAGGTTGAGGACCATATCGGTACCAGAACTGGTGCTTAGATTAGGTCTCACGCCTAAAAATATTTTTTAAGAATTGAAAAAGAAATAAATAAAAATGAAGGTTCGAATAATCATTAACAGTAAAATGATAATGAATTTGAAGATTCATTCCACGATAATCAGAATGAGATGGAATAGGAGTAATAAGAATAGGAACCATCTGAAGACAGGTCCTCTAGCTCATTGGTATAAAGATAGGACTCATTATACTGTGAAGAGGACAAAAAAGGTGAGCAGAAAGATTAAGAGGAAGATGAAGATATTGATGATGATAAAATATCTTTGAATACGGTATCTACAGGAGGAGCTCAGCCTTCTCAAAAATAAATTGAAACTTAAACAAGAGAGCGATTATACTCTATACCCTCAGATTTTTCTACTGGTCTATAGGGTGGCTCTAAGCAGTAAATGACTGCATCTACAAAACCAACTCCTTCCCTTTACACAGATAACAGCAGCCTTCCAGAACCCATTAAAAATTTCAAAAGATCCAACTCAAATGAGGTATTAAAATTTCATATTTATTTTTAATTTAAATTTTAGACCCTTGATTGGACTACTCAGACATTCCAAAACTTGCAAAAGATATAATATCTGAAATTCCTCGACATTGTCAAGAGAAAGGAGACTTTAGTCTCCGAAATGTACACTAGTGATAAGGATCTCTTCACTGAAGCCAAGAGATATATCACTTAGTTGAACGAAATTTTTGCAGAGATCTAATAACTTGCATTTTTGAATTCTGCTTTACAAAAAAGTAAAATACTCAAAGATATTCAAATCTTTTATAGCATTTTAAATGTCGAACCCTCAAATCAATACACAATCATCTCAGTTCCTAGAAAAGATACTAATATTCCTAGCTGATATCTCTAATATGCAGAGAGTTCTCTAAGACTTTGTCTAGAACATTAATAGTAGCTTGAATAACATTTTCAATCCTCAAAACAATGGCTTAAGTGCTTTATTCAACTAATCAAAGTTATCTCAAGTTTTAAATCAGTAACCACCTATTGCTAGGTCTCAATCAATTTAAAGCTAAGGCTTTAATAACCATAGCTCTTCGGCCTAGTATGTATAACCATAAAAACCAAACCCAATCAATTCAAGACAACTGATTGGGTAGAAACAATATGTAGATACATCTATGGAGAACAACAGTTCAACTAACAAAAACAACTCTGCTGCTAATGCTGCACTCTAGTCTTTTACTAATGCCTCTACTCTATAATCTCTATAAAAGTCATTGTAGGTGAAGCAATTGTAAAGCAATATAGAGCAGCTCAAGTAGCTAGGCTGCTCTTTTGATAAAATAGTTGAGTTGGGTGATTAGTATAATGACAAGAGCAGTTTAAGCGGTGGAGTTGATTAATCCTAATATCAAAACACAAATAACAACAACATTAATAATAACTCATCCTCTTCTATTCACGAGGATTCAGAGAGTAATTTGTTTTAAAAGAACCAAAATAGCTTAAAAAGCCCCTTGATCAACCGAAGATTGTAAATAATCCAGCAATAATCAACTTAACAACAAACGAAATGACTCAATTATGAAAGTTGAAATTTTCACTCAATTTTAATAATTAATTATAGATTATGAACTAATAATATAAGCTAATGATTAATAATCCCTTAATTTTAATTTTTTTAATAAGTTTGAATACCTTCACAGTATTTTAGCTATCGGGGTTTTGGGGTTTTGGGG